CCCCCACCCCTCAGCGTGTGGAGAGGAACTTCACGGCCACTCATCGGTCCGCTGGACCCTTCTCACTCCCGTTAGCTGAGTGGCCGCGACTGGTGTACCACTGTTACCCATTTGATGTAGGCGGCCCTGGCTAGCTGCCGCCTTAGCTCCCACCACGGCCGCCTCCACTGAGCGTTAAGCCGTCAACAGTCCACTTGTCAAAATGTTCTGTTGCCGACGGCCTCAGTGAAGGCGTACAACCCGAGTGGCGACTGTTAGCGGTTGCGCTCTATTGGTCTCGGGTTCACGCCGTGTGGCCTCCACTTGGTGGTGGGAAGATTAGGGCCCCCTTGGAGTGTTGAATCACGCTGTCAAGGGGTATTGGATTTGGTTTGGTCGAGCACTTAGTTAAAATTCTTTAAATTAAAATTAAAAATGCTTTTGGGTTTTCCGCGAAATTTCCATATTTGTAGTGGTTGTGATTAAAAGAATTGAATTTAATCTACTCCTTTAAATGCTGCTGCATATGTTTTGTAAATATATTTAATCATTGTGTTTGATTGTTGCGCCTGGTTGCTGAAAAGAAAGTTTGAATTCATTTGAAATTGAATGTCGCGCTATTTGGAAAATTATGTATATGTTTTGTGATAGTGTTTAATCATTTTGCTTTGTGAAAATGAAGGCTGAAATTAGATAACCCTATTTGTGCCGAAGTAAATAAAAGCCAATTCTCTTTTGGTTTACATTTTGTTGGCACTGTCTAAGTTATTTAAATAAGAAATAGGGCTGCCTCTTGCGTCTATTGTTGTGTTTAATTTGCAAGTTGACCTATGTGCATCGGTGATTAATTTGTTTGAATTAATTCTATAGTTGAACATTGATGCTTTGAAAAATTAGTTGAAATATGAGCATAGGACTGCTTGTCTAACAGGCTAGCTAGTTTTGGAGATTATCAGATTGAAATCAGCTACCGCACTATTTTAGTAAATGATAATATGGTGGGTGGCCTGGCTAGGCCTACTTGTTGAAAATTCACACTAGGGACTATCTGTGCGTTTCGTTCGGCTCTCCACAGACGACGTTCATGTGGAATTTGTGGCTGCTCTCTGCACTGAAGCTTAGGAGGCCGCTCTGGGCCGCTTCGTGTCGCGTCGCTGTTTGCAGACCTGATCCGGTCGGATTGCGGAACTAATCGTAGGGGCACAGATAGGTGTTTGAAAGAGGTCGTCGAACTTCTGTCCAGAATAGGACTTTTTATGGGCTGCGATGTCCAGGAAGGACATCCAGTTCAACCCTCCGGCTTGCCCACGTTGGGGCTGTAATTTTTAGGCGTTGGATAGGGTTGCAAGATCTGATGGGGTGCCTAAGGTGGCCTAGTTTTGGTGTAGATTCGGTCTTGCAACGTGCCGTCGCGACCCTGTCCCGCTTGTCGGTTTGCTCGCGGACATAGGTCCTTATGTCCGGGACGGGGGTTTGTTCGCGCCAAACGCTAATTTCAGGAACTAACGCGAGAGGGCGCGCGCCTCGGTGCCATACCGGTTTTGACGTCGGCCGAGCGGTGGGTTGAGAACGCGTAAAGGCGAAAGAGTCGTCTGCCAGCTGTGCTTGGTACCGCACGCTGTCATTTTTGTCGGGAACTCGGAATAATTAGGCGCGGCCAGTAAATATACGGTCTAGGATTTGTGACGCGCATTCTTTGATGGAGAGCTTCCCAGGGACTCATTGTGTATGACTCAGAATCTGCATAAGTGCACTCGGCAATATTAGCTAGTGCGGCCTTTGATATTCTAGAAATAACTGTTGCTACGCGAAACGGTACTGACCTATGATCCGGACACTCCGTGTTTTTTTTGTGCGTTAACCTTATAACAAACGAGAGTTAGTGGCTTCTGTAAGTTAGTTAATCGTACGATAGAGTTAATGGACTGTCATCGTGACGAACGAAGAAGTGGTCCGGCGCCGAAGCAGTCTGAAGCGGTGCAGCATTTTGGAGCAGCCTGGAACTCAGCCGCTGCTGGTCGCCTATGCTTGACAAGGCCCCACACATTCACACCCCACTGTACACTACTCGCCATCCACTATTACATACATTCGCGGCCTGCCCAAGCCTTGGTGCGAAGTTAGCTTCGGATAATGGTAAGTACTACGTGTTTCTAGTTTCCTCCCATATTGTTTATTGTAATTAGGAAATTCCACGTGGCCATATTCTGGCCCCGTCCCTCTGCTGCTCGTCGATTGGATTACTCATGGGCCCTAATCCCGTCATCCTTGATTGGGGCAGCTATGGGCGTGTACAATATATATATATATATATATATATATATATATATATATATATATATATGTGTGTGTGTGTATATATACATATATATATATTTTTTTATAGGAGAGGGGGCAAACGAGCATGCGGCTCACCTGATGGTAAGTGACTACCGCCGCCCATGAACAACCACAACACCAGGGGTATTGCAGATGCGTTGCCGGCCTTTTAAAAAGGAGTAGGCTCTTTTCTTGAAGGTTCCTAAGTCGTATCGGTCCGGAAAAATCGCTGATGGTAATCGATTCCACAAGGAAGTCGTGCGAGGAAGAAAACATCTTCTAAATCGCACAGTGGTGGACCGCCAATCATCCAGATGATGTGGATGGTATCGGGAGTTCTGCCGCGATGTGCGTTCATGAAATTTGGCGGCTGGGATTAATCCGAACAATTCCTCAGAGCACTCCCCATGGTAGATGCGAAAGAAAATGCAAAGAGATGCAACATCTCTTCGCAGTGCCAATGAATCGAGCCGATCGGAAAGGGCTCGGTCGTCGACGATTCGAGCCGCTCTGCGCTGGATGCGGTCAAGTGGAAGGAGCTGGCACTGGGGAGCCCCAGCCCAGAGATGGGAACAGTATTCCATGTGAGGCCGAACCTGCGCCTTGTAAAGTTGCAGGCGGTGTGCCGGCATGAAATACTGTCCCGCTCTGCTGAGCACGCCAAGCTTTTTAGAGGCCAATTTGGCCTTCTCTTCCAAGTGACCACGAAACTGCACGTCACTCGATATGTCGACTACGAGGATACCGATACTGGCTGAGGCAAGAAGGGGAGTGCCTTAAAACTGAGGAGATACGACAAAGGGGTTCTTTTTAGCGGTAAACGCGCAAACTTGTGTCTTCTGAGGATTAAACTGGATTTAGTCGCCCCCAATCCGAGACTTTTTCCAGCAAAGACTCGACTTCAGACACAAGTTTGTTCCGGTACTCGGTGACGTTTTCCCGAGAAGCATATAGATAGCATCCCAAGTCCTCTAGGCACCTAAGCGAACTAAACAATTTGAGGTTTATATCACCATTATAGCATTTTGTTACATAGTTTCCACTCAGTACACATGCAATTTAAACACAAATTAATACACAAAATCGCACCACGCACATAATTAAACGATAATTAGTAACAATCAGGCTGCAGTCAAGGCTAAACCTCCCAATGGAAAATAATACAAAAAAGTTAAAAGAGTTGCTGTCACCTAATTGGTCGAATTTCGACCACAGGTGATCCTACTTTTAATTAAATGAAGTTAACTAATTGATTATACTTTAAAAAAAATTCTGTACTTTTCTAAAGTAATATACAAAAAAGTACCATTTTTTACAATCTAGAATTCGAAAAAATAATACAATAAGAAATACATTTTTTTACCTCGGCACACCGCACACCTTTTTTTTATTGCTGATGTAATTTTGAGAAATAGTAAATTAAAATAACCCTTTTTTTGTATTTCTGTACCCGGTCGCCAGTCTGTTTTAACTATAGATAATATCGATATACAATGAGCAGGGCGCAACTCGTGCAAGTGTGGTTACAATTTGCGTTTTTTAGTTTTTCAGTGACCAGCTGCCAAAGAAACAAAATCACATACACTCAAGAGTAATGATATTTACTCTCAATCATAATCCAGTGTGCTAGTTACTGATGATAGTTGATAAGGATGATAAATCGGTAAAAAGATTTTCGTTGTCGATGATGCTGATAGAGGTGATAATCAGAAGATAATAAAGAACGAGCAAGAAATCATTATGGATATGAAAGTAAAGGAAATAATATTTAGGAAATGCAAGAGGACAATAGTAGGCAAAAACTTAACCGCATTTCACCAACACTTAACAATTTGACGCGAGATCACAGGTATATTCACAGATATAACGTATCGTACGTACGGCCACGATGCGCAATATGTTTTACGTCCAACCGTCATTTTAGGCGAGGTACAGGATCGAAAACGGGCAGGCTCAGTGGAGGGAAGAGGGGAAGAAGCATGCGGGTGTCTGTACGCAAAATAATGCAAAGGGCTTGGTTTTTGCTGTACAAACAATAATAAATGCCGGAACGCGCCTATGGCTTCTCTGGAGCGTGCAGAGGAGAGGGGCGTGATGTTTCATGCGCTCCGAAGCTTACTTGTGAGTGGCTAATCTCTTGGGCAGCAATGGATTTCCATCTTCTATCTGGCTCGGAGAACCAAATATCAATTTTGAATAACCTACAACGTTTTCAGACTACGCTGGCGATAAATCTTTTTGCAAACCTTTTTTGGTTACTGCGGCAGTATCGGATAAATAAAAGAAATGTCTAAATAAAAAAACAAATTTATTTTTTCTTCGTACAAACGAGACGTTGATCTGTCGTCATTCAACACGACCGATATAAATGCATTCCATTCACAGAATAAATAACATGTTACAAAATGTTAAGGTGGTTACAGAAATACAAATGAATTGATTTGTCCATAGACACTAAATTACTCCTCATTGCAGTAGAAAATTGCAGTGTCATACATTATAGCTGTGGCAGTGTCGTGTCTACTACATAGCTTGCGTGGTTAAATAATGAAACAAAAGCTTTTCTGAATGTTACACGTTAATGTCTGTCTATTTATGCTGAGATTGAATATGAGCATCGGAATGGTATTGAATATAAAAAATCGAGTTTATTGTATATATGTACAGCTCGTGGCAGTTTAGAAAGAACTACAGGCGAGTGTTCACTTGAAGATTTTGCCCTGGTTGAACTTGCGGCCCTGTTTGTCGACTCCGCTCCATGAGAAGTAATCCTGGACTAGCTTCTTTGTTTCCTCACTCTTAGGATCTAGTTTCTTCCAGTCATATGACTCGTAGTCAATCTGTGACAAAAAAAAAATAACTAAATAATTTAAAAAAAGGCTTTAATTTTGATATATAATATGTTAATGTGTATATTCTTCTTTTTATTTATCGGAGCATCAGTCACCTACAGAACATGGACCTCTCACGTTGTATAGAATATTTATTATTTATCATCACTTACTGCCAGCAGCACAGGATTGCTCTAAAACGATAAGACTAGCGTGCGCGTGTCTGTGTGCGTGGGTGTGTATGTTTGTGTGAGTGTGCGTGTTTGTGTGCGTGTACGTGTGTGTGTGTGTGTGTTTGTGTGCGTGTACGTGTTTGTGTGAGTGTGCGTGTTTGTGTGCGTGTACGTGTGTGTGTGTGTGTTTGTGTGCGTGTACGTGTTTGTGTGCGTGTACGTGTTTGTGTGAGTGTGCGTGTTTGTGTGAGTGTGCGTGTTTGTGTGCGTGTACGTGTGTGTGTGTGTGTGTGTGTGTGTTTGTGTGCGTGTACGTGTTTGTGTGAGTGTGCGTGTTTGTGTGAGGGTGCGTGTTTGTGTGAGTGTGCGTGTTTGTGTGAGTGTGCGTGTTTGTGTGAGTGTGCGTGTGAGTGTGCGTGTGTTTGTGTGCATGTTTGTGAGTGTGCGTGTGTGCGAGGGCGAGGGGGAGGGGGAGGGGCAGGGGGCGGGTGTACCTGCCAGTCGGGCGAGAGCTTGAAGGCGAGCTCGTGTCCGCGCCACACCCACACGCCGGAGATGCTGGAGTTGTCGTCGGAGCCGAACAGGCACACCGACGCGAACGCCTGCTTGCGCATCTTATCCAGTCGCTGGAACATGCCTGCACAACAACAAACACATCATTACCATCCAAACAGCTAGGAACATGCACAAAATAAAAATTTCATGTAATCTAGCAGTGCTTAGTAAGCTTGGCTACCCCCACAAGTTGACTATTTTTTTATACTACGGGTTACAAACGAGCACACAGTCCTCAATGATGGTAAGTGGATGCTGTAGCCCATAGAGGACTAAATGTATCCTCGATTACGAATTAAAATGCAGATGCGTTGTCAGTTGTCACCCTTGAGGACGAAGATGTAATGCCTCGTTTCCAGTAAAAAAGGTTCTCCAGTTCCCTAAACTGACCATACGAAACACAGCAGCATAAAGTTGCTATTTTGTGTTTGTACTCTGTGAAAGTGTGATCCTAACCTGGTTAAGCCGACCCCTGCCTGCTACAGCCATACTATAGCTGCAGCATGGTTCATCATAAAGTATATTTGCTGCAATCACCACTCTTGGAATGAAGTTTTGTTATCAGGAAGATACTACTGCTCAACTCCTGCTTTATCTTCCTCTTTTACTTCTTATGACAAACAAAGAATGATATGAGGTAATGAATCCTCTTTTGCCGCCGCTTCACAGCATTTAACTACTTTTTAGAATCTTAAAGCAGACTGCCCCCTCAGTCTAGTAGCCGTGAACACGGTTGCTGATCGTGAGATCCCGGTTTCGAATCCTAGACTAGGCTAAAATTAGTTACTTAAGTTTTTCTGTCAAGAAACTCTCAGTAGGAGCTGGAGGTCAGGATGTTGGTATAGTTTCACCCCCGTGCCTCGGAAAGCACGTAAAACTCTTGGTCCTGCGCCTGATCTCTTTAAGGACGTGTTGGACAGCCATTCCCTTGGACTATGAGAGTAAGAGAATAGAGTGCACTTATGCTCGCACATACACTTACTCGGACACTATAATCCTGTCCCACGCACATGGTCTATCTCCTTTAATATGTGGTAAAGCCACGCTGCAGCTGTATTAATAGTATAGCTGTAGCACGAATGAGTCGGCTTGACCGGGGAAGGACCACGCTCTCACAGAATACCAGCGTAAAATAGCAGCATATGGTGGGTGTAGACAACCGGAGACCCTTTTTACTAGAAATGGGAAATTCCATTTTAGTCCTCACGGCTGACAACGCATCTGCATTTTGATTCGCAAATGAGGATAGATGTAAATGCCTATGGGCCACAGAAATCACTTACCATCAGGTGGATTGTATGCTCATTTGTCACCTTTATTCTATAAAAAAAAGACTGGCTGCCATAACCGAAACTTGTTTTAGATCACATAGTAATTGAAGGAGGAAGGTTAAAAAGTTTATTAAAGACTCAAATAACCAAATTGAAGGTTATAAACATAACTCACCAGTGATCAGATTACAGCTCATGAAGACCTTTGAAAGCTCTTCAGGGTACTTGTACTCAGCATACCAGATGCTGTAATTTTCAGGGTCAAACTTCTCCCAGAAGTAGGGGATGGACTTCGCCTCATCTTCATTAGAGTAGCAGCGCTTGAAGTCATCCATGTTAAATGTTCTGGAATAAATTAAAAATAATCAATAAACAAAAAATAATTGTCATAATCCAAGTTTCTAATATAATAGGGTATTATTTTCAAAGAGTATCCAAATTGTATGTTTTTTTATATGGCGGCTTTTCACATTGGCCAACATAGTGGCGAATGTGTTGGGAGAGATATTGGCCAAGAATTTGTGATCGCGCTACACAAAATAATGCCTGTAACAGGTGACTTCGCTCTTCCATAGCTAAAAATTAGAGTATTATTAATAAAATAAAGTAACTAATAGGGAATAATAAAGACAGTAAAACACGATTTTAGAATCCTACCTTTTAATTTGATTTTAGTATCCTACCTAGTCTCATAGCATTAATACATCAATAAATCAATGAATACATCAATAAATAAATTAATACATCAATCACTACAACATGAATGTGTATAAGAAAAGGAAGATCAAAAAGAAATGGAAAAAAAGAAATTTTATTTCTTGACGGCTCCGTGGCGTATTGGCTTAGCAATGACTTGCTGCGCTGGGGGCCGCGGGTTCGAATCCCGCACGGAACAAGTATTTGTATGGCCTACACATAATTGCTCCGGGTCTGGATGTTTGTCCTTATGCAATTTATGTTTCTAAACTGCCTCCACGATACAGGAGAAAATCCTAGGTGGGGGTAACGTTTTTTTTAAAAAAAGACTTGTGTTTCACAAACAATTTTCGGCTTGGTAGGGCTCTATAAAGCGAAAAGTTTTTTCATTGGTCATTGTTACTGCCGTTATGTAGACACTAGTTACGATGCGTGCATATAAAATTTAAATCAGGTGCGTGCAATCACTCTGGGAGCTCGTAGCAAACTGAACGTGCGCCCAACGTGTGGACGCGGCGGCCAACACTCTGCCACAACCCTTTGATCTTTTGTAAAAAACCGACACCAGACGGATCTCGCGCCAACTTGTGGGCGCCATCGTTCCAATACGTACCAACGTAGCTTAAACACCCGCTCGTAAAAAGGGTCTCCGGTTCTCTACACTGACCATACGAAACACAGCAGCATTAAGCCGCTATTTTACGCTGGTATTCTGTGAGAGCGTGGTCCTTCCCCGGTCGCACTACATCTATACTATTAATCTAGCTGCAGCATGGCTCTGCCACGTAAAACATTTAAGTTTAAATATACAAATAATGATATATATACCATTATTACATAAATAAGGCTTCTACTATTATTTGAAATTACTACACGATTTAAATACGAATTTAAAAAATAAAAAGGACAGAATGTTTGAGATTTTTGTTTTGGCTATATTACTTCTTTGCAAATTTGGCCGGTTATTGCAAAACAACCCTCTATATATAGTAATATGAGGGGTGTAAGAGTAAATGTGTCTGGTTTTCTCTATATTTATCTTAATTATTAAATATCACAATATTTAGTATAATACTATTATAATAAAATGCACTGTTAATGAAAACATATTTAATTAGAAAATAATATCAAACAGCTTTAAATTATTTTAAGAAATGCTGAGACCATAATCCTACGTGTCAAGATAACGACTAACAAGAAAATTGGATGAAGCACTAAGATCTTAAATCAAGCAAGTAAAAAGTTGTTAATAATGGTTTAAAAATAATTCCAACAAATCTAAAGACATCTCAGTCTCAGTCAAGTTATGCAGAGGCTGGAGGACGTTTTAAAAATACTAATTTTATTAATTAAAAGATGTTTAATCACTACAAAAACTCGCTTAAGACTAACTTAATATTCTATGCTTAAAAACTAATGCATGAGTGCCCACACAAGAGCTCGGCAGTTACCGTTTGTCCACTTAGCACATGCCTGTGGTCTACAATCAGAATATTTTGCTGATGCGGACAACTTGGTGGGTCTTGCCACCCGTAACATCTCATTCAGTGTTTGCATCCAAATGTTAAATAAATGGGAAAGTAATAAATATAATGCATACAAAAACAAACATATAGTATCAAAATGAATGACCAAATTTAATGTGAAACATCAGTGTCAATGCCAAAATGGATTAAATCGTTCACCACAAAATTTCGGATTATATATTAAATGCGGTCTATAATCTGTCCAAATGATAATTATCGTCATTACAGCCCTTCACAAATCCACTGCTGAACATAGGCCTCCCCCCAAGTAATGTCACTAAGCACGGTCCCGAGCCACCTGCATCCATTGACTTCCTGCATGTCTTACCAGGTCATCACTCCGTCAAGTGGGGGGACGCCCTACAGTTAGCTTGCCGGTACGAGCCTGCCACTCGAGAACCTTTCTTCCCCATCGATTGTCGGTTCTTCGAGTTATATGGCTGGCTCATTGCCACTTCAGCTTACTAATCCTTTGGGCTATGTCGGTTACTCTGGTTCTACTGCAGATATCCTCGTTTTTAAGTCTATCACGCAGAGAAACGCCGAGCATAGCCCTCTCCATAGCTCGCGACTTTGAGCTTCCTCATACGGCCAGCAGTGAATGACCACGTCTCACATCCATAGGTCTTCACTGGTAACACGCACTGTTTGTACAATCTAGTTTTGAGGTTTTGAGCTATGCCTGACGAGAAGATCTGTCGTAATCTCCCGAACGCTGCCCAGTAGAGTTGAATCCGTCGATTGACCTCTCGCGAAATTGGACTTAATTAGTCGAACAATTTGTCCCAGGTAAAAAACATATTCGTCAACAACTTCGAGCTTAGTGCTCCCAACGACTACCGGCATAGGTGTGACATGGACGTTAGACATGATTTTTTTTGTCCATGTTCATCTAAGACCTATCCGTTGGGAGACACTACTGAGGTCATTGAGCATAGTGCTTAGGTCCTCCAGCGATTCTGCCATAAGGACTATATGGTCGGCAAATCGATGGTAAGTGATGTACTCGCCATTGACGTAAATACCGTATCCTTTCCAGGCAAGTAGCTTGAAAACGTCTTCCAATGCAGCAGTGAAGAGTTTCGGGGATATTACGTCACCCTGTCTTACACCTCTTTGCAGTTGGATAGGTTTCCTACTCTGGTTCTGTACTCGGATAGCCATTGTAGCCCTACTGTACAAACACTTCAGCACTTCGATATACCGTTTTTAAGGTGTTGGAGAGCCATTCTAATCTCGCTCACACTGACATCCGGGATATCATCGGAATAATGTCGGATAAGACTTGCTCTTGGATCGTTACTCACACTTGCGTGTGGCTCCAACGAAGACGTGACAGCTGCCCATAGAACCTTTAAATCTCATTCAAAATCTCAGATGTCCCATAAACGATGCTGCCACAGTCGGTCTTCAGCTTCGACAGTTGGCAATTTTTGGCAGACAGATCTCTGGCAAAGACTTTGAAGCCACGGTTCCCGCTCAATCGCTTCTTCAATACTAGCTGTAAATATTGAAGTTGCGCAAGTCCCGCCGCCTGCATTTCGAGATCTGTCGGTTCAGTTGCCCATATGCTGTCACTCCCATCTATCAGCCATGAGATTAAGAGTGTGATCGGACTGTTTTTGTGTTCTTCTGCAGGGGGTCTTGCAAAACTTTACTCCGAATGCATGGACAAATTCCACAAACTTGTCATTCATATCGTCCACTGCATTGCAAACTTCTAGGCACTGAAAACAGTTTTGTAACTCGAGCTAAAAGTTTTCGGGGCTTTGGATTAGAGCACGAGGGGGACGGAGTGTTGACTTCATTAGATGTGACCTCTCCTACTTAACGTTTAGGTTCCTCTCATTCGGTGATCGCTGCCAGTTTTCACCCTCGCGATCACTGAGACATCACTGAACAGTTGTCGTCTGATCGTCATAATGAAGTCAATCTCAGTTTTTGTCAAACCGTCGTGGCTCCACCAGGTACACTTTCTGTGGGGCTGCTTTTGGAAGAAAAAGTTCATCTTCTTTCTTCATAAAGTCGGCCAGTTGCTGGGGCCCTTGGATTCCGTTGCCCTATTCCAAATTTCCCTACTTTGATCTCACCGTCCACTCTTGTGCCTAGTTTTGTATTGAAGTCTCCCATTAACACTGTATAGTGGGTTTTGTAGGAATGCATGGCTCTAGAAATATCCTCATACATTTCCTCCACCTCCTCATCGGGATGTGCCGAGGTTGGTGCGTAAACCTGTATGACCTTCAGCGAATACCGTTTGGTGATTCTGAGTATAAGGTACGCAACCCTCGTCGACACATTCTCAATCTTTACGTTGTTAACGAGACTTGTGGACGATAAATCCGACACCTCCTTGGGACAGATGGTCGTCGCCCTCCCGGTGATAGAGCAAGTTGCCGGATTCGATGATTACCGTGTCCTCCCCCTCTCTTCGGACCTCGAATAATCCTATAAAATTCCAGCACAACTTGTCTATCTCTTCTTCCAGCTCCAGGATCTTCTCGTCAGTCCTCAGGGTGCGTGCATTATATGTTGCTAGATCGAGTCGTCGTAGGTGGCAACCGAACCTCCACCGGAGATTTTTAGCACCCCTTGGCCCGCCGTTACCATGGTCTCCACCGTAGCTAGGAATAGCGAGTCCGCCAGGGACTGAGGGCCGTTTATTTGTGTCGTTGCTTATGGGGGGTATATTGCCATAGTTGCCACGTTTGGCGAGCGGGTTGGCAATCACAGTTTTTTATTGCTTATTGCTGTTATCAGAAAGATCTGGCAAAATAATCTCTGGATAATGCAATAATTAAAGTATTATCCAAAGGAATGGATTTTGCATTAACAACACAAAGATTACTGTATGAAGAATTCATGCAATAGCAACGAATACATACCCTTTTGGGAGTAAGTCGAAGGGATCTTTCGACTCTTTGGGTTTCTCCTCATCCTCAACCTGTTCGGCCGGGGGAGCTTCTTCCTTCTTCTTAGATTGCTGTTCCTTCTTCTCTGCCTTCTTGTCTTTCTTGCAACTGTCCTGCTTACAGTAAAATATACTGATTAATGAAAGAAATAATTTATTATTTTATAAATAACAAGAATTTCTATATTATGATGTATTTAATATTTATACATTTGATCTATACTTTTTATAATGGCAAAGGAAGGCTATACTAAAATGCCTTCATGTGGCTTAAGGTGAAACATACGGTCTGTTCCCGGCCATATTCCCGCGAGATGGCGTTGAAGTCATAATTTTTTAATTTATTTGGGTTTTTGTGTAATTGGAACATTAGTAAATAGTAGAAGTAGCAATCGCGATGCTCGGACATTATACTTTATTTTACTAGGTCATATCAATGCCTCAAAATCCACACAATTAAACACAAAGTCCGAAAATAACACCTGTCATTGAATTTAGTGTCGTTTACACACACAGACGTGGGTGAATTCTTAGTCCCTACATTTACGAAAATTGAACACTAGATGGCGTGAATGAAAAAAATGTTTTCCTTTTTTCTGTATGGGTAGGCAGAAGTACAGAACGCCACCTGATACGATACATATTATGTACGATTCATCATCTGCCTAGCCTTTTTTCCAACTATATTAGGGTCGGCTCCCAGTCAAACCGAATTCAGCTGAATACCAGTATTTTACGACAATGTTATAAAAATAAAAGTTATATTTGTAGGCGTAAATAAACTATTTAATTCAATAATAATTTTGGGAAATAATATATTTCAACACTAATAACAATAAAAAGATAACAACAAATCTAAAACACGATTTAGTATTCGATAAGAACCAGGAAGGTGAAAAAATGTTCCGGCAGGAATCGAACCCGGGTTGCTCACCTGAGCTACTACTACCGAGCGCTAACCACTTGAGCTACTACGGCTCGTACATTGGTTTACCAATTTTTGAACATTATACTTACATTTATTTCTGTGCTATTTTTATATAGCTTTATATTTATTTCTAGCTGTTCCCCGCGACTTCGTCCGCGTGTTATTTGGGGTTTCAACTATTTTGCGCGGAACCCTAATTCTATTTCTAATTTTAACATTACAAACAGACACTTCAATTTTATTTATTTGTATAGATTATAATATTTATAAATATTTTTGTAATAAATAAATAATTATTAATCTAATAAACATAATAAAACAAAATTAATAATAAATATATAACCATTATTTTCATCTGTTATCCAAGGACCAATCAACTAAAAAAATCCAAGTCCGTAACAAACGATACGATACGACCTTGAGCTTGGTACTACTACAACAAAATAAAAGAAACTAATAATAATGTGTGTCTGTCTGAAACTGTTTGCAAAATGCGTAATAGATATTTTATCTATACTTTGCAAATGTTTGCAAAATTAATTTTGTGACTACTTTGGTGGCTAATCGATTTATTATTTTATTTATTGTTGACCAAAAACATATTCAAACAAATTAAAATATGTACGAAACAATGCCTTTGTAGTTTTGTACTGAACACCGACACATATGACGTAGGTAATTAATTAGTAATGAGACGAGATTTGAAATCAAAGGAAAACTTACCGTTTTTAATACCACCGAAAATAAAATAGCGTATTTTGAATAATTAATTACTATACCTACAATAAATTAAAATATATTCTATTATATTGGAATCAAATACGTAATAGAAATAATGCAAATTGAATTAATGAAAGCAAAACAAAAATATATAACACGCAAGAAATTCCGGGCGCAAATCCTATCGCGTGACAATCTAGAATTCAAAATGTTTTTGTATTTTATTACAGTCAAATGAGCGAAAGAAGTTTGGCAACGCCGCAGGTTAGGAAGGACGGCATCGTCGCACGAATAATGCTTGCCAAGCAACAGAAATAAAATTGTATACATTGCCGTCAAAGGCGGTCAGTTTTGTTTTATTTTATTGTTTTTTTTTTTTAATGAACGGTAGGAAAAAAAACAATTCAATTTTGTATATAAGATGTTAATTTATAATAATTATATCTTCTGCACGCCATCTAGCGTACCAATGTCTAAACTATGCCTTTGGCGCTTTTGTTTGTCAAGTTGTCAAAATTCACTCACACTACTAAAGAAGTGTCAAAATTTTCTAGATTTCATTATTGTTTTTCTTAATAAATATTGTTAGGAATGAGGGTAAAATAATAAAAGAAAATAAAAAATGTTGAAGGTAGAACTATAATCCCCCACTTGTTTTAGCAGTATAAAGTATCACGCAGTCGACTAAGAGGGATCAGTCAGTCTGTAATTCTAAGTCTCATATCGTTATTATGCCCGTTGGGCTAAAATATTACATCTACACTGAGATTCTGCCCAAATAAGACAAGTGATGCGGTTCTATTCGTGTAGTAGTTCTTCTAGTGTAAGCAAGGAAGATCATGTTGCTGAGAGGCTGCCCGGTGTTACATCAAGAGAAGTAGTGTAGCTGTTGCTTTGCATACTTTGGTGTTATCTTGTAATTATGTCCTTCACGTTACGCCAATGTGTGATTGTGTCTGGTACATATTACGGTTGGTCGAACTGTATTTGCTCTATACTGAATGTATAGTTCTGTACGCTGTCTTATTTCTGATAATGATCAATTGCGTAAGCAAGAGAGCAAGTTGAACATCCACTCTCACACTTTTATTATTTTTAACAATTACCCTTCAGATTAATTCTAATACGAGTAACATTACTTTATTTAAATCATTTTGAGAATAATTTCTAACATCAGAAGTGTAATAGTTTCTAATAATGCTGTATGTTATTTCCTAATAAGCTCAATCGCGAGCACATTTCAGTGTAGAAAAGTGTTAAATTATTAGTTTTAAACAAATAGTATTTGTGTTTAATGTATATGTCAAAACAAAAATGTATGGCGCGGCTATCGGAGGATCCCCCTTAAGTAGTCACCTTTAACCACTCATAAAAATATTATAGATGTTTGAAGCAGTCTTTAAGAAGTTCTGTTTTTAAGCTCATCTGGATTTATAGGAATAGGACTTCTGAGTGACAAGTGCAAACATTTTGGTGTGCCAAACACCTTCATTCTATGCGAATTTTTGAAAACGAGAAGGTTCGATCGTGCGCCTTCTCATGTGTCAATTTAGTCTGTTTCTTATGAAGATTGAAAATATTTTATTTAAATTTCTTATTTTAACTAAATTTAAAAACCTGACTTGTTTCATTAAATTCTAATGAAAAATAAATGGTTTTGGCATTTCAAATAACAGATCTCTCAAGAAAAGATATGGTTTTCAGATAAAGGAAACATTGTGAAATAATATAATATCACACAAATACTTGAGGGCTCTATAGCACAGTGGCTAAAATAAAGCATTTCGTTGCAGCATTGGAATGTCGTGAGTCGAGATCAAGAGTGCAGTTTATGCATGTAAACAGCTTTCACTGTCACCATCCATGATACAGGAGAAAATGCTACTGTGGTGCGTAACCTTTAAAAAAATACTGCAACTATGATGAAGAAAGGGAGAGTAAGAGGATTTTTTCAGATACTTTAAAATGATTGCAAAGAACACTGGTGAAATAGTTGCTTACTAGAGTAATAAGAGTGGGTCAATATTATACCTTCTTAGCATGTGTGAGCTCCTGGTACTTCTTGGGGTCGTAGACCGGAGCTGCAGAGCAGAGTGTGAGCTCTCCAACGACCGCGGCCACCTTCGGCTGGTGCGCCAGCGTCGAGAACCAGCGGGACACGTTCACCAGATCAGACCGCATACTTGGCTCTAGCACATGCTGCCATTGCATATAAATGTGTTAGTGTAGCTGATGGATTGATAGTTTTCTAGAGTAAGGGTAACAAACAGGCACATGGTTCACCTGATGGTAATTGGTACATGGACATCTACATCTATCCTCGATTAAGAATAAAAATGCAGATGCATTGTCACCCCTGAGGACTAAGATGGAATACTTCATTTCCAGCTATTAGCTAGCTGCTATTTTACGCTGGTATTCTGTGAGAGCGTGGTCTTTGCCCGCTCGAGCCGAACCATTTGTGCTACAACTTGCAGCATGGCTTATCCACATATAAAGTATAGTATAGTATATTTGATGATTACATAATAGAGCTTTAAGTAATAGAGCCCAAATACTGAGCCACAAGTTCAGCTTAGATCGTTCGTCGGTATTAGCTTGTAATAGTGCTCTACTGGTCAAGAGAGTTCCACTGTAGGATTTGCCATGACTGTCACACTTAGCAGTTAAACTTCCGATTACACTATAATGATTCCCACCTTAGATACAGCTACCCATCATTAGTGGGAAATATATATTTGTTATATTCAAGATTCTAAGTCCATGCAGAGAAGACGCGAGTATTTAACTGCATTATCGATTTATAAATGAGGATAACCACAGTAGAACCAACAAGTCATTTGTTTAACAGGGATTTTCCCAGTCTCTTTACATATTATGCACTATACTGGATGCCTGTGTTTGTGTACTTATAGCAACATAATATTACATTGTTTGCACTTCATAATTACTGCTGCTTTGAGGATACGGTTTCTTTTTTGTCTTAAATCATGTAGGTTTCAAACATTTTTATTTAAGGTTATACTAACACTTCCACTGTCCGGTTTCCAGACACAATAGTAAGACAATAGCAGTGCCCTATATGTAGTGCACGGGACAGCGAAAGGGTTAAGATTTATATGATAGGATTAGGTATTTCATAGGATAAACTTCTATATAAATGAACAGAGTAAAAAGTGGATCTTAATTATTGGTAAGTAAATAAGATATTTTATATCACCAAAAATCATATTCCAAGGACATAGGTACCTAATTGTAATATGATAATGTATTGTTTCTGTAAATATAAAATATTTTATGCTTAATTACCTGGAAAGCATGTAGCAATGATGAGAAGACAATGATGTCGGCAAGTGTGACACGCTCGGTGACAAGGAAGGTACGTGTAAGCAAGTGCTCGTCTAGCATCCGAAGTGCCGCCAAAAGATCACTCTTCGCACGCTCTACATTCTGTCAAACCAACAAAATATATATTATTATGATTATCTAGATAAAATAAAAGTAACAAAAGATGAAATATTAAAACGCAATTACTTTTAAGACAGATTTATTACACAATAATAATTGGAGACTCGAGACTGATTAAATTCTTTATGTAACATGAAGATCAAGGTCACAGTCATAAAACTTAATATGATGTTTAGTTTATAATATATTAGCTGGCCTCTGAGAGATTGTCCTGTCGGAGTGGGTTGGTTGCATCATGAACAATTGTCTGCACAAAACAAATATATTCTGTGAATATGACCTTAATTGGTAGTCATTCAAAGGTTACATAATCTACTAACAAATGCACCAATAATTAATATAGAATAATTTTAAAATATTTCATTATAGCTTGCACAAATAAGAATCAATATATAAATAGTGTGGTTAAGACACCCTCTCATTCATATAATTTTAGTTAAACTTTACTTGTACACATCCATTCTATATGCAAAAGTATCACTGTAATCACATTCCACCATTGGTCATTTCAGATTTCATGAATCAATTAATATGTACTACTCACAAAATAAACTCGTACATAATATGTTTAATTTGTGGCACTCTATTTCTTTTTTAGTTTTCATTGCACCTTGACTAAGTCATCAAACAACTTAATGTCAGTTATATGTGCTGATTTCCAGATGTGAAAAAAATAATGGCCCATCACCAACAATTGCAATTTGACAATATAATGAAAAGAGAGAGAATTATTAGGTTGTACTATACCACTTTGTTGAACTGCATGATGCCTAAATAGGGGAAGACCCAGGCACAGGAAGCAGGTAACAGTTCACTGTCTGCCCATGAAGCCCACTGCCATATGCGTGCCCGCGTTTCAAGGTCTTCACCACGGAGGGCCTCATTTGCAACTGTAAACAATTACAATAGAATGTCTTACACACAATACACATATTTCTCATTATATTTATCATAAGCTTGGATTTTTATATGATGTGAAGTAATTTTGATTTTCCAATCATTTTGTTAGCTATCACTTTTTTTCCAAACATAACTTTATGTCTTGTTAAATAGAAGCTTACACAATAATTGAACTACATAAAATTTCATAAATTATGCATTCATTTAATAATTACTAACTGCAAATCTTACATTATAACATAAATTTACAAGCACTTCTTCTGTCACACAGAGGGGTTTGCAGAAACTGTACTTCCTTTTGGCACTCTAATGTATAATACATACTTAATGCCATGCCTGTAAACCCTTAGGGGTTAGACCCTTCTGACCATGTTGGGCCAAAAAAATGAATACAGATGGAAAATAGTGAAAAAAGTAATATGTGGCTAGAATATTGCCTACACAATTACAAACTAAATATCTCAGTAGTCTTCTTTTACTACCTACAAGGCAAATAACATGGTTAGCACATTCTTTTATGTTATAAGTGCCAAATAAACACAGGATCTATAAAGTGCCAGAAATGTGGGACATTCAGTTTATTCAATTGGCTAAAGTATTCAAATACAATTCCATACATCATTTAAGTGTAAGTACATAAATTTCTGACTAATGACTCTAAATTAAAATTGTCGAGCATATTTCATCAGTAATAATTACAGAAAGTATACTCTAATAATTAAAATATGTTTTCTTTATTAAAAATATGAACCAATGGTAAAAGTTAAAAATGATTTTCAATTAGTATCTCATGTAAGTAATCTATATTGAATAAAAATTTATTCTATACTGTTATATACTATTTTGAAGATGTTTCACTAGTACTCTAATACTCGTAATTGTACTCTACTTATCGAAATTAGAAATCCGTATAATAGATTTCTTCTCTTAACAGTTAAAAGAGCATCTATTTATAGCATAAAAAAATATTTTTGATAGTCAATGACTTAATTTTAAATATAGAAGAATTCTTCAACTTACCATAATAAGCGATGGCATTGCTTTCCGTAAGAAGAACTTTCCCATCAGAACTTTCGTAAGCCGGCACCTAAAATAATGGACAAGTATTACACGTCACCGTCAAAACATCTGGCCAGATAACGCTGACACTTAACAACCTATTTGGGAGTACACTCACTTTGCCTGCTGGAAATTTTTTCAGGAAATCCTCAGACTTATTGGTCTCACCGAATACAAAACCGGGTGCAACTTTTAAATCGGTTCCAGAATACTGTGCGGCGATCAACGCCTTAAAAGCACGGAAGTTTTGCGGGTAAGTATAAAGTACCTAGAAAAAATAAAAGTATATAACATCGACAACGAATAAGACTAAAATTTTCTATTCATCACTACTTATAAAATGCTTTGATTAAAAAGATAATTTGAGACAAATATGAACCCACCCCGGCCGCCATGGTTGAGTTTAATCGGAAAGAGAAAGAAAAGGGGTGAGGGGAAGGGAAATCGGCCGAGATGACAGCTGGCAGATGTCACCGTGTCAGCTGCCAGCCGAATGATGGTGACACTGACATTAAAAAGTTGCGTTCATAATTAAGTAGAATCAAAGAGTATAGTAAATACAGGAAACAACTAGAAAGTGTTGAATTGAGGACAAGTCAAGCTATTGAACGTTACAAACATATCCAGTCCACGAATCAGTTTCGACTTGTAAATAAATATAAGTGGACCTGCCTCAAATTTGATCTCAACTCTGTAAAGATTTCAAGGAAGAGAGTAGTTCACAGTGCTATACCAATGCATGTTGGTTGAATACACGTATGTAGGTATTTCTTAGAAGCTAAGTCTATGTCGAAATAAAGGTTCCCTAGAGATGTTTTTCTTCATAACCAAGCATAGACATTATTTATTAATGTTTGTTTCACCAAGTCTTGCTGGTTGGTATTCGGGCTTATCTTATATTTTTATGCTAAATTGATAAAATAAAATAATTTATTCATCGAACAACAGTGGTCTATAATAATAAATGATAAACTTATAAACACGAACAAACATAATAAACTTAAGATTGTCCGGACTAGACCCTAATCTATTCTTAACTCCATTTATTAACCTTCTAGCGTCTGTCGTATCCGTATGGCGATCTATTTGACAAAGTATAGACCCCGCCAAAGAGTATGTAATAATTATAAGGGACCCCTTAGGGTGGAAGCTCCAGGGTGGCCCGCGAAATTCAAATTTTCTTGCGTTTTTTGGAATTTGCAGGTCAGGGTTAGGTTGTATATTTAACAAAATATGATTCGCGACCGTAGCGATTATGTGTTTACAGAATTATTATATTTAAAATCACCAATACAACCCTGTAAGTTTACAACCGAATATAATTCGGTATAGACGGTAATTATTAAATGCAACATATTTTTTTTAATTATTAATTACATTTGTCAGATTAAATTTTTTTTAATAAAGTTGGTGATGATTTTAAATTAAAATAAAATTCTGCTCAAGTTTTTTTATGGTTATCTTTGTTAACAACATCGCCTTTAGAACTCTGGAACCGTAAGTGTTTCTTTCAGACGTCCACAATTTATTCAAAATAAAAAAAATACTCTTTCTACCGGAGCATTCGTACCAGGTAGACATAAAATATATTCGATTAAAAAAAATTATGTTGAAGATTGTTGACTTTGAATACTTCCATCCAACGAGTTACGGGACAATTTTGTGTCCCGGAGCTTTGTTTGGGGACAATGGGACAGGTGACCGAGAAAAGGGACAGTCCCGTTCAAAACGGGACGTATGATCACTTTAGCTATAACCCGGCGACGGCTCCGTGGGGCAGTGGCTTAGCAATTAGTTGTTGCGCTGGGGGCCGCGGGTTCGAATTCCGCACGGAACAAGTATTTGTATGGCTTACAAATAATTGTTCCGGGTCTGGATGTTTGTACTTGTGCAATTTATGTTTGTAAACTGCCTCCACGACACAGGAGAAAATCCTAGTGTGGGGGTAACGTTTTTTTACAATTGAAATTGAAAGATTGAACCCTTATACTTCTTGTTGATTTTTGTATTACCTTTATTAAAGTTACCTTATGTATAAATAAATATAATTACGTATGTAGAAATAAAATTGATTTTCATCCTCATCAATCATTGGGGTGAGGATAATGTCTGCCAGCATAAATAATAAGCAGGCTAAGTTACAAGGTGCTCAGTTGAAAAATTAGTAGGTAGGTATATTACTTTTCAATACGTGACACGTAAAAATTAACAATAATCAAAAACACATCTGCGAAACATCCTATTTATTTATTTATTTTTTATTGCACCAAATATTTGTACAAAAGCCGAGCTATCTATTTATTTACCTATAGTGAATAGGTATCTATTAAACTCACAATTTTCAATGCTTCATTTTTAATATATAATTAATTATAAAATTTCATAATTAGATATATATGAAAATACATAATTCTAATATAATGCAACTAATATATACCGAATAAAAAAATTAAAATACATTTATCTTTGTACGCTGTGTGTATTTCCATAAAATAGTTAATTGATGTTGAAAAAATAATACTACGTTATATTGTAGCGAGCGGCGCGCCGGTCAAATGCTCAAGGCCGTTCGCATGGAGTAGCCCCTTAATACAATAGATAGAAATGTTTAGAACTTAGAGTACAAATAAGCAAAGTATAGAGCGAGCGTGTCGCTCAATGCCCATTATGCCAAGCTTACCCAGATGTTCTATAGATACTGATACATAGCTGAGAGTGGTTGAATAGTGATGCTCCAAGATTGATGAGTATGCGTTATTTTACTTAAGTTATTAATTTGACTATGTAAGTATTTGTAAATATTAGCTAAGCGATAATTATAAGGTATGTTTAGCTCAATAAAACAGGAAGGAATTTATGAAACGATGTTTATTAATTAAACAGATAAATCTAATTAATTTACTCACCCTTAAAAATCATATTATACAGAGTTACTGGGAACTCTACAACTTCCTGGCAGGGCACGATAGGGGAGTCAACGTGCTACAAATTTAACCCACTATATGTATGGCCGAAAATTTTAAAAGCATGAACAGCGTACTACTGTACTTTTCTTCGATATGTCTAAGGCATTCGATTTTGTAGTTCACAATGTCTTGTTAGATAAACTGGAAAAGTATGGGATCAGAGTTCTTTCTCACTCTTGGCTTAGAACATATCGAGAAAATAGACATCAGTGCGTAGAAATAAATAGGATAAGCGAGAGAAATACAACTACATCCGATCGTTCTAATTATAAAATAAAAAAGTTTGGAGTACTTCAGGGTAGCGCTTTAGGTCCTATATTATTTTAATTATGTATAAATGACTTACTGAGAGTGACTAAACAACAATGCATAATGTTTGCTGATGATATTTCCATTATTGTTAAATCGAATTATAATGACAATTAAAATAGTTATGAAAATGACATTAATAACACAATTAATAATATAGTTCAATATCTTATATTAATTAATCTAAATATAAATCTGAATTAGACCAATTTCATAAATTTTAACATAAAAGTACAAGCAGTAAATAATCATAATGTGCTGTACAAAAATATACCTATTGAAAGGACTACCACGATCTCATTTTTGGGTGTAGTACTTAACGAGAACTTAAATTTCACTGGCCACATTGTTAAATTTGTAATAAAATTAATAGGTTTGCTTTCATCTTAAAGCGTTTAACTAAGATAACGACTCTCAGTGTAACCATGTCTGCTTATTATGGTTACGTCGCGTCTAATATTAATTATGGTCTGGTTCTGTGGGGCAACAGCATTGAAGTAAATAGAGTTCTTATCGCACAAAAAAATGTATACGTGCTATATGCGGTAAAGGTCCATTTGATACATGCAAGCCCCTATTCATTAAACTGGGTATATTAACAGTCCCTTTCTTTTTTTTTTATCGTGGGGAAATCCTCATGGATACCTTCTGTTGCGGGGGCAACGGAAAGGCTATGCCGGACTACTACCGGCCAAAATCCCACGGTGGTCTCCATCAGCGTATATGAGGGGTCCCGGGATCTCCGTTCGGAACGCAACCGGGGCCCCTCTCACGCTTTGCTCTATTAAAGCACGTCCCGGGGGCAGTCCTTACTACATACCCCTAGCACTCGCAATGCTATCACGGTGCTCGAGACCACTTTCAAGTCACCGTCCTCCTCAGGTGTTACATCACTAGACGCTCGGGGCCCCCGCCCCGAGTACCCGTAACCCCCGAGGCCCCGTTTCTGGTAGGGGAACACCATCATCAAGGGGAGGGCCCTGACGAACGCCTTGGCGGCGTCGTCTTCGAGTGGGATCTGTCCTCTCCCGATACCGCTCAGCAGCCTCCTTCTGGATCGTAACGGATTCACAGAAGGTGGCTACGGCCCTCCACGCGGAGTCCCTGCTCAGCATCGCCGACACGACTGCCGGCAGGGAGAGGTTCTGACCGATCCGGCTTACCAGGACCGTCCGCTCCCGTTCCCACGCTGGGCATGTTGCCAGCGTATGGGATGCGGAGTCCTGTACCTGCCCACCGCAGTGGAAACAGTTCGCCGTCGCTTCCCGTCCAATCTTACACAAATAATCACCGAAGCACCCGTGCCCGGTCATTATTTGTGTAAGTCTGTAGGTAAGTCTTCCTGTTCTTCGATGCATCCAGGCTTCAAAGTGCGGCAGGATTGCTCCAACAACGCGTTTACATGCATAACGCTCTTCAGAGAGGCGAGCGCGCCACGTTTCGAATGCGTTAATTCGTTCCTGCCGCTTGACCCCTTCGAACACCTCATCTGGCTCACTCCCGACGCTCTGGCGGAGGACACGCATCCGGTGGTACACCCTCGCATCCATGTCCGCCAGTATGTCCAGGGGTGGGAAGCGAGCCAGGAGTGTCGCCGCCTCAAAGGATATTATGCGGTATCCTCGCACGATCCGTATGGCCATCCTCCGCTGCACCCTGTAGATTTTAGCTCTACAGCGTTGGATGGCCAGCCTTTTCGCCCAAACAGGCGCCCTGTACAAGGCTACGTACCGTATCACTCCTGCATAGAGGCGACGCACTTCTTCCCTTGGTCCCCCTAGATTGGGCAGCAGTCTATGCATAGCACCCGCTACCCTTTCAATTCGAGGGACAAGGCGCTCGAAGTGTCCTTCGAAGCCCCATCGACTGTCCAGGTGGAGGCCTAGGTACTTCATGTACCGCCCCACTTCGACTTCAGACGCACCTACGCGGACGCACGAGTCTGGTGGTTCCCAGCCGCGACGTAATTTATGGAACCATAGCGCCTCGGTTTTGTGAGGCGCTATTTCTAATCCCAACTCGTGGATTTTGGCAACGACGACTACCGCCCCAAGCTCGGCGAGCTCTTTGGCCCTCTCGAAGTTGGCCCCGCTGGTAACCACCAACGTGTCGTCGGCATA